AAGAATGAGGGTGGGGATGGAGGAGAGGAGGAGGAGGAGGACTGTTGATGTCCACCCTGTGGGGGGTCTGTGCCACCTGGGGTGTGAGGAGGCCCAGTAGATCCTACCTCTTGGCAGAACCTCTCCCTTGGTACACCTAAGCTTCCTGTTTCCCTCACTCCTGATGCCTGTCTGTCCTAGGTGTGACTGTGTGGGAGCTGATGACATTTGGGGCCAAACCTTACGATGGGATCCCAGCCCGGGAGATCCCTGACTTGCTGGAGAAAGGAGAGCGCTTGCCTCAGCCTCCAATCTGCACTATCGATGTCTACATGATTATGGTCAAATGTGCGTGGTGGGCGGGGCTGAACCTCAGGTGTGGAGGAAGGGTGGTCTGACCTGTGTGTGGGTACTTATCCGCTGCGGGAGGAAGAGTGAGATGTGAATGGGCTCAGGTGTCCTTGAAGGAGCCTCAGAAGGTGCTTCATCCCATTCACAGTAGAAGGTCTAGCTGCTCGAGAGGACAGCTGTTGAGAGGAGAGATGCCGGTTTATAGGGGGAAAGTAGGAGAGGTGCTCCAGGGTTCTGGCTCAAGATCCCAGAATCCACCTGTGCTTTCCCGCCACGTGAGGACTTTGGGCTGAGCCAGGGTTGTCGAGGCCAGACTCACAGGGAGCAGGAAAGGGCCGGGTAGCTGTTCCTCAGCCTGGCCCTGGGACAAGGATGCTGAGCTCTCTCCTGCCCTAGGTTGGATGATAGATTCTGAATGTCGCCCAAGATTCCGGGAGTTGGTATCAGAATTCTCCCGCATGGCAAGGGACCCCCAGCGCTTTGTAGTCATCCAGGTACTGGGCCTTCCCACCCCATCCCCACCCAACAGTACCCTCCCCTCCTGCAGAGAGCGGGAAAGGGAAGGGATCCCTGGATGCCAAGTCCCCAAGTCCCCACCTCTAGTCCAAGCTTGGTGAACCTTTCTGGGGACCTAGACGCTAAGCTGGGGAAGGGCTGTCACTTATGTCTTCTTCCTCCCTAGAATGAGGACTTGGGCCCATCCAGCCCCTTGGACAGTACCTTCTACCGTTCACTGCTGGAGGATGATGACATGGGGGACCTGGTAGATGCTGAAGAGTATCTGGTCCCCCAGCAGGGATTCTTCTGTCCAGATCCTGCCCCAGGCACTGGGAGCACGGCCCACCGTAGACACCGCAGCTCATCTACCAGGGTCAGTGCCCATCAGAACAGAAGCTATCAGGGTCCCTTCCCCCCCCACATATTCACATTGCCTTAAGATTCCATTACCATTACTGCTTTCCAACCCTTGGGACTCCATTCTCTCCCTCATGGCTCCAGGGTGACCTGTCTTTTTCCCAGGACCCTGTCATTCCCTGCCAAGGTCCCCCTCCCAGACCTTTGAGTAACCTCCATCATGACCCTCTCTTACCCCAGAGTGGAGGTGGCGAGCTGACACTGGCCCTGGAGCCCGCAGAAGAAGAGCCCCCCAGGTCTCCACTGGCTCCCTCAGAAGGGGCTGGCTCTGATGTGTTTGATGGTGAACTGGGAGTGGGGGTAAACAAAGGGTTGCAGAACATCTCTCCACATGACCTCAGCCCTCTACAGCGGTACAGCGAGGACCCCACATTACCCCTGCCTGCGGAGACTGATGGTTATGTTGCACCTGTGGCCTGCAGCCCCCAGCCCGGTATGGAATCCAGGCCTGAGAGATTGGGAAGAGGGGAGCTGGGGACCCTCAGGCCACACTCGCTGAGGGGCAGCGGTGGGGCAGGGACATCTTGGTTCCTTTTCATTTACAGCTCCTCTTCTCCCCTGCAGAATATGTGAACCAGCCAGAGGTTAGACCTCAACCTCCCTTGACCCCGGAGGGTCCTCTGCCTCCTGTCCGGCCTGCTGGAGCTATGCTAAAGACTCTCTCTCCTGGGAAGAACGGGGTTGTCAAAGACGTTTTTGCCTTTGGGGGTGCCGTGGAGAACCCTGAATACTTAGCACCCAGAGGGGGCACTGCCTCTCAGCCTCACCCTTCTCCTGCCTTTTGCCCAGCCTTTGACAACCTCTATTACTGGGACCAGAACCCTTCAGAGCGGGAGTCTCCACCAAGTAACTTTGAAGGGACCCCTACAGCGGAGAACCCGGAGTACTTGGGCCTGGATGTGCCAGTATGAGGCATGTCTGCAGAGGCCCTGTTCTGCCTTCCGGGTGAGGAGGCCTGGCTTGTGGTCTCCATCACTACAAAGCAGGGAGAGGTCCTCCGGCCACGTTCCATCCAGGGCAGTCTGCTATGCCAGGAACCCACTCTACGGACCCTCCCTTGCTGCTTGAATCCTGAGTGGTTGAGAGGGGCCGCCTGGCTGGAAGAGGTGGCCCACCGGACAGCCTCTGGATTCCAGACTCTGCCCTGACAGTCGGTAGGGTCCAGTGGATGTCACAGCCATGGCTCCTCCCCTGGCCTGCCTCTTGGTTCTACGGACTGAAGGAAGCTCAGCCTGGAAGGGAAGAGGCCCCAAGGGAATATCTTGGGGACAGGACAAGCCACTAGGACTGAGCCATGTGCATCCCGCGAGGTGCATCCAGACCAACCCTTGTACAGAGTGTATTTTGTTCTGTTTTTACCTTTGTTTTTTAAAAGATGAAATAAGGACACCGTGGGAGAGTGGCTGTTTTATAGAAGTTAGGGAGCGGCTTCTGTCTTTCTCCATTTGGAGTGAGATTTGTGTAATAGCTGGGCCCCAGCCTCTGTCTGGGAGTGGTTCTGGGCTAAGCCTTCCTGCTCACTTGACACACAGTTCTCCCTGGAGTGAGTGGGTATAGAGAGCTTCCAAAAGTTTGAGGTGGTTTGGTTTGGGGTTGGGGGATTCCTTTCTGAGGACCCTTTGGTGACAGGCTCATTCTCCACTGGATGCGCTCATTCGAAGGCTACTGCCAGAATGAGTTCCTCTCCTCCAAGGGGGAAAGTGGACTTGGGGAAGGGGCTGTCTGTGTGACTCCGTTTCCTTGCCTTAGAGACATGCATCTGTCCAGAAATGACCAACCCCAGGAGGTGCTAACAGGGCCAGACTGTCCTCCATGCTCCCCGCAGGCTGGACATAAACACACACCAGTTGGCACAAAGATTTGGAGCGCCAGTAGCTCTTTATTGCCAATAGCTGACATTGCCCAGGACTCGGGGGAAATGAGTTACAGCAACTGTGGCACCCGACAGGAATTGCCAAGCTGGGGAGAGGGCCGAGCTGCAGAGGGCACCGATCCTGGGAAAGGGGTGTGAGGTGGTAGTGGAAATATCCACAGAGAACATCTCTTTTCTGCCTCCAAGACCATAGAAATGTCTAGTCCCTCTTTGTGCCCAAAGGGGCAAAGTGGAGGTCAGGGTGTTAGCTACATGGAGATAAGTGAGGGGCAAAAGGCAGAGGGAGTTCCTAGGGGAACCGCAAGGAAACAAAGGTTTGAACCCCAGAACCACGCTTCCAAGAATCGTGTCGTCACAGGATGACGCAGGGAGGCCGGCTATTGGTGATCTTTTCTAAAGGTTCTCCGTTGCTGGCTCTTCGGATGGCCTCGATGAGCTAGGGGACAGAGACGTGGGCCGGTATTACGCATAGGAGAGGAGGGTGTGTCTCAGCCATCCTCTCAATGCTGCAGATACTCACATCTTTCTCATAAGGAAAACCCCCATTCTCCAGCTTGGAGAACACCAGCTGTCCATTGATCTCAATCTCAAAGGCCCCTGGTATGAAATAAACGCAAGAATGAGCCAAGAACGGGCAGAAGTCCAGGGAGGTCCTCGGCACTCCAGAGACTGTAAAGCAGGACTGTTCATGGTCTCCGCCTACACCACGTGTGACCCGGTTTTTAGATCCTTAAGCCATTCAGCCCAAGAACCCCCCATCACGCCATTAAGGGCTCCTTCGCTCCAAACCCACACCAGGCATTTTCACTATGTGCCAGACACTGCTAGGGGGGTTATATATAGTAGCCAGTGTCAGCTCTATAAGGTAGGAGAGCTGGGGTTTATAACACAGACTGACTCAGCAGGTGCTCTGCGGACCTCACCTGTCCCCCCGTGTCGCGACTCAATCTCGATGCCCGGATACTCCTCCTTCACGGCGCTCGCCAGCTCCAGGTAGGTCGCCTCGAAGCCGCAGGGTTCACTGGGGAGAAGAGACGTGGGGTGAGCTGGGGTTCCGGGGGGTGGGGCCTCCCGTGGGCCCACCCCCGTCTCGCCGGCGAACACTGGGCTCCTTTTCAGCCCGAGTGGCTCACCAGTACTCCACCACGATGTGGACTCCACTGCCTGCTTCTACCTCCCCGGGAGGGGGCACTACGGACACTTGTCCTGGCTCCCCACTCATTGCGGCCCGCTCCGCTGCAGGGCTGCTTCCGGGTGTGACGCCAGGCCAGGGTCACGTGAGGGGCGTGGCGGACCGCTCATTGCGTGTGGGCGCCCCCTGCAGTCACCAGCTACTACTACATCTTGATCCTGTACCGCGGCTGGAGAGCGAGTATCCTGGCCCCAATGGGCGAACCTGTCCAAACCCTCCCTGATCTGGGTTTTGAGAGCGCTGCATTTCTTCGGCACCCGTTGCTCACTGGACGTCATGGATTTGCTTAAATAACGAACTGCCTCTGATTGCAGAGCTCTTTTCCGTTTACAAAAGACAGAAAAAAAATGGGGCAAGCATCTGAGGATGGGGCTGAAGTAGCTGATGGTTTGATTATTGCTATTTCTCGATAGCATGATAACGACATTTGAAACCACCCCATAGTTACATGCTCGAGCTTTTTTTTTTAAACTTTTTAGAATAATTATGTATATATGTGAATGAATTTGTGCATGTGAGGGCATCTTTTAAAACTTTTATTACGCCGGGCGGTGGTGGCGCACGCCTTTAATCCCAGCACTCGGGAGGTAGAAGCAGGCGGATCTCTGTGAGTTCGAGGCCAGCCTGGTCTACAGCGCGAGATCCAGGAAAGGCGCAAAGCTACACAGAGAAACCCTGTCTCGAAAAACCAAAAAAAAAAAAAAAAAAACTTTTATTACATGTATTTATTAATTTGTGTATGAGTGTGTATTGGAGGTGGGGGCTGTGCCACACAGCATACTTGTGAAGGTCAGGGTACAGCTTTCAGGAATCGGCCTCCTTCCATCCTCTGGGTCCCAGGGACTGAACTCAGATTGTCAGACGCTGTCGCAAAAGTCTTTCCGGGTTAAACCCAACACTCTAGTTCTTTTGACTCTACAGTGCCAAGTGGTGTCGTTTCCAAACCTTTGTGACTCTTTCCTGCACTAAAGGAAAGGAAGTGTCTGTTCCTCGGGCTGGGCTTCCTCACGGGCACCCACCTTTTGCACACCCGTCTCATCCTAGCCTCTCATCCGGTTACCCAGTTTGTAATTCTGGAAGCGGAGGCCTCTCATCTGAGTCTTCCCTGCCTCTTCCTCCCCTGAAGCACCACTTTAGGATCGCACCCATTCTGGTGTCTCTTTAAACTGTTCACTGTTTGCTCAACCTTTGTTTGTCGAGCTCTGTTGTCAGTGTGTCCAGTTACAGAACGTTTCCATCAGTCTAAGAAGCTCCGGTCCTCTGTGCTTGCAATCCATCCGGCTTCCGACGCCAGTTCTGAGCGATCACCGATCCGCTCTCTACAAACTTTTCTGGGTATTTCACGTAAATGGAACCATACAGCATGTGGCTTTTGCTATGGTTTCTTTTGCAAGAAAGAACAAGCTTCCCTCCAGTGGTGTACCAGGAGTTCCTTTTTACTGATGAGTAATATTTCATTCCACGTGTAGACAGAGCACAGTTACGATTTATTGCCATTAATTTGGGTTTCTTCGGTTTCCGTCTGTTTTGAACAATGCTGCTGCTATAAATGTGGATGTCTTTTTGTGGACGTGTGCCATCATTTCTCTTTGGTAGATTCCTAGGGGTAGAAATACTGGGCTGCCTGGGAAACTTATATTTACCTCTTTATGGAGTTGCCTACCTGTTTTGGTTTTTCTCGAGCGGCTGTGTCATCTTACACTACCAACAGCAATAGCGCACACAGGGATTTCTTTCTTCATAGCTGTTACACACATTGCTTTCCCATCTCGTTGATGATACCTATTCTATTAGGGAATGCTACTGGCCATCTTTTCAGGTAGCCATTACCCATTCATACATATTACTTGAAAGAGAAACATTCATTCTGTGTTTCTTTTTCTTTCTTTCTTTTTTTATTTTTTCTCTTTCTTTCTTTCTTTCTTCCTTCCTTCCTTCCCTTCTTTCTTTCTTTCTTTTTTTTAAAGATTTATGCCAGGCGGTGGTGGCTCATGCCTGTAATCCCAGCACTCGGGAGGCAGAGGCAGGTGGATCTCTGTGAGTTTGTCTACAGAGCTAGTCCAGGACAGGCTCCAAAGCTACCGAGAAACCCTGTCTGGAAAAACCAAACCAAAAACCAAACCAAACCAAACAGATTTATTTATTTATTATGTACACAGAAGAGGGCGCCAGATCTCATTACAGATGGTTGTGAGCCACCATGTGGGTGCTGGGAATTGAACCCAGGACCTCTGGAAGAGCAGTCAGTGCTCTTAACCTCTGAGCCATCTCTGCAGCCCTATTTTTGATTTTTCAAGACAAGGTTTCTCTGTGTAGCCCTGGCTGTCCTGGAACTCACTCTGTAGACCAGGCTGGCTTCGAACTGAGAGATCTACTGGCTTCTGCTTCCTGAATGCTGGCATTAAAGACCTGTGCCACCACTGCTTGGCCAATTTTGTTTTGTTTTTGAGATGGGTCTTACTGTGTAGCTCTGGCTGGCCTGGAACTCAGAGATACACCTGCCTCTGCCTTTTGAGAACTAGGATTAAAGGCATGTACCACGATGCTCAGTTTATAGCCCAGTTTTAATTGGGTTACTTATGTCTTTATTATTGGTATTTAAGAGTTCTTTATAACTGAGGGATGGTGGCACAGGCCTTTAATTCCACCACTCAAGAGGCAGAGGCAGGCAGATCTCTGTGAGTTAGAGGCCAGCCTGGTCTACAAAGAGAGTCCAGGACAGCCAGGTCTGTTACACAGAGAACCCCTGTCTTGAAAAATCAAAAACAAAACAAAAAAGTTCTTTATGTAGTCTACATACAGTATCTATAATGAAATAAATGAAATAGATAATTTACAAGTATTTTTCCTTGGTTTTTGCAACATATACATTCTAAATGAATACATTCAATTAATTTTTTTCTTTAAAAAATCTTTTGCAAGCCCAGTGGTGGCATAAGACTTTATCTTACTTGAGAGGCAGAGGCAGGCAGATCTCTGAGTTCAAGGGCAGCCTGGTCTACAGAGAGAATTCCAGGACAGCCAGGGGTACACAGAAATTCTGTTCCAAAAACCAAAATAAATAAATAAATATCCTTTGCCTAACCCAAGGTTACAGATTTCCTTCATTTTTTTTGTTTTTGTTTTTGTTTTTGTTTTTGTTTTTCGAGACAGGGTTTCTCTGTGTAGCTTTGCGCCTTTCCTGGGACTCACTTGGTAGTCCAGGCTGGCCTCGAACTCACAGAGATCCGCCTGGCTCTGCCTCCTGAGTGCTGGGATTAAAGGCGTGCGCCACCACCGCCCGGATGTTTTTGATGTTTTATTGTGACTTTATCTAAAATTTTATAGGTTCAGTTCTGATATTTAGGCTTATGGTCTATTTTTTCTGGTTTCCTTGTTTATGTTTTTGAAATAGGGTCTCTCTACATAGCTTGGCTGTCCTGGAACTCACTATGTAGACCAGGCCAGCCTTGAACTCATAGAGATCCACTTGCTTTTGCCTCCTGAGTGCTGGAATTAAAGGCATACACCACCGTGCGTGGCTATGATTTTTTAATGATTATTTTTATTTATGTGTGTGTTTATATCTGTACAAGTACATGTGTATACAGGTGCCTGTGGGAACCAGAAGAAGGCATCAGATCTCCTGGAGCCGGTTACAGGCAGTTGTGAACCTTTGAATGGTAAGTGATGGGAAATGAACTCAGGTTCTCTGAAGAGCAGCAAGTGCTCTTAACTACTGAGCCATCTAGGATCTATTTAGATCTAATAGCCCTTTAGGATCTATTTAGAATTATTTTTGTGCATCATGGGAAGTAAACGGCTAAATTAATCTTTTGGTATGTAAGTATTAAATTGTCACAGTGCCTGTAGCCTTAACTACTTGGGAAACACAGCAAGAAGACTGGCTGAATTCAAGAACATTCTGGGCAACATAGCAACACACTGTATCAAAAGATCCTATCTGTCCATTAAATGGGCTCTACATCTTTATAAAAAAGCTACTGTTGGGGCTGGAGAGATGACTCAGAGGTTAAGAGCACTGACTCCTCTTCCAGAGGTCCTGAGTTCAATTCCCAGCAACTACATGGTGACTCACAACCATCTATAATGACATCTGGTGCCTTCTTCTGGCCTGCAGTCATACATGCTGTATACATAATAAATAAATAAATCTTTGGAAAAAAAAAAAAAAAGCTACTGTCTCCAGACATGGTAGCACACTCCTTCAATTCCAGCACTCAGAAGGCAGATGCAGGTGGATCTCTGTGAGTTCGAGGCCAGCCTGGTTTACAAAGCAAGTTCCAGGACAGCCAGGGCTGTTACATAGAGAGACTCCGTATTGAGAACAAAAACAAAACAAAACAAAAGCTACTGCTATAGAAACATGAAGGTTTATATTTCAATTCTCAGTGCTTTCCAGTGATCAATACAAGTGGTTCCTTGAATTTTTAACTTTACAGTGGTATATACTTGATAAAGAGTCAATAGAAACTAGACTTTGACATTTTGTAGTTGAGATATAAAGTGCATTTTCTAATCAAGGTATTTTTAAAATTATAAAGGTATTCATTATGAGTATATATGTATGTGTGGGTATGGATATACCAATACCACAGTGGAGGTCAGAGGATAACTTTTTTTTTTTTTTTTTTTTTGGTTTTTCGAGACAGGGTTTCTCTGTGTAGCTTTGCGCCTTTCCTGGAACTCACTTGGTAGCCCAGGCTGGCCTCGAACTCACAGAGATCCGCCTGGCTCTGCCTCCTGAGGGCTGGGATTAAAGGCGTGCGCCACCACCGCCCGGCGAGGATAACTTTTGGGAGTCCTCTCCTCAGCATGTGGTTCCTGAGAATTGAACTCGGGTCATTGGGCTTGCTGTAAGCATCGTTACCTGCTGAGCCATCTCCCCCGCTTCTTCAAATCAAGATATTTTATGATGGCATAGGTCTATAACCCCAGCAGAGGCAGAAGGGTGGCCACAAGTTCAGGACTAGCTTCAGTTAAATAGGGAGTTGGAGGCTAGCCAAGGTTACATATCAAGACCCCAAGATAGAAAACCAAAAATGGGCTAGAGAAATGGTGGGCACTTGCTGCTCTGGCCGAGGACCGGGGTTCAGGTTCCAGCACCTACATAGTACTTCGTAATAATCTCTGACTCCAGTTCCAGGGGATCTGATGCCTTCCTCTGGCCTCTTTGGGCACCAGTCAACAATGTAGTATAGTTAAATACATGTAGGCAAACACATACACATAAATAAAAAATAAAAACCATGGCAATGCAACAATAAAAACTGGGTTTGTCTAGATGCAACAGCATCGTAAGACAAGGGACAGCAAACCCATTCCTTCTTGTGTGTCTTTTATTTTAGTTTTGTTTGGTTGGAGATACTCTTGCTATGGCATACCTCAGTCTGGCCTTGAACTCTTTTTTTTTTTTTTTTTTTTGGTTTTTCGAGACAGGGTTTCTCTGTGTAGCTTTGTGCCTTTCCTGGGACTCACTTGGTAGCCCGGGCTGGCCTCGAACTCACAGAGATCCACCTGGCTCTGCCTCCCGAGTGCTGGGATTAAAGGCGTGCACCACCACCGCCCGGCTGGCCTTGAACTCTTAATCCTCCTGAGTACTGACTGGGCTTACATATTCAGCTTGTGGTGACTTTTATCCTAAATTCTAATTAACTTATATACATAATTAAAGTTCATCTCCCATGGGCAAGATGGCTTGGCAGTGAAAGGCACTTGCAGCTAAGCCAGATGACATGAGCTTTGATTCTCGGAACCCACCTGTTGGAAGGAGAGAACCAGTTCTCACTAACCTCTACACACACACACACACACACACACACACACACACACACACACACACACACACACGAGAGAGAGAGAGACAGAGACAGAGAGAGAGAGACAGAGAGAGACAGACAGACAGAAGGGGGGAGACAAACACACACACACACACACACACTGTGTGACACACAGCCCCAGTTTCCCCCACACAAACAAAATGCAATGGTTACATGAGGAACTTTCAATGAGTCCTGACAAACACACAGCTTTGTGCATCTACCCTGTAAGGTCCCAGACAGACGGACGCCCAAGCTCCTACAAGCCTCTGTCCCCACTGGTAGCCCCTCTTGCCTCCCCGCTGAGGTCTCAGCTCTGCTCTGTGGCCTTACAGTCCACTTCCTCTGGATGGAATCCTGGGGCAGGAGAGAAATGGATCAGAGGCTAAGAGCACGTGATGACCTTCCAGAGGACCCAAACTGCCTGCCTGCCTGTGGTTCGGCTGGAGGAGACCTGCAGGAACCCACGTACGTACACACACACACAGGCATGTACACATAAATAAAAACAAGGTGGCGCACGTCTTTAATCCCAGCACTCGGGAGGCAGAGGCAGGCAGATCTCTGTGAGTTCAAGGCCAGCCTGGACTACAGAGCGAGATCCAGGAAAGGCGCAAAGCTACACAGAGAAACCCTGTCTCGAAAAGCAAACCAAACCAAACCAAAAAAACAAGTCTTTACTAAAGAAAGAAATGGCATCCTACATCCCTCAGCCCTCTGAGTCCGGCTTCCCTCCAGCCCAGCCTTCAACGTTCTGAGGGATCTACAGGAACCCTGCCCATTGCTCTGTGTCTCCCCTTGGGCCCAGATACAGCCTGTAGGGTCTGGCTTCTGCCCACCACCCCTGCCAGTCTGGACAAACAGGATGGACGGCTCCCAAACCTGGTTTGCAAAACAGCCGGAGGGCTGGTCAATACCACACATTCCTGGGGCTCTGCCTCAGAGATATCGACTCTGGTGGCTGAGGAGGGGCCCAAGGATCTGTTTTCCATAGCAGCTTAAGAGACTTGCGGGCTGTGTTCCCGCCTTTTAAGAACTGCGAGGCTCTTCTCCACCCCTCCCAGCCTGCACAGCCTGCCCAGGCTCACCTGCACGGCGGCGGCGGCTTTTCCTGTCCACCCCCACTCCCTTAGCTCTGCCTTCCGTGTCCGCCTATGTTTGCTCCTCCACGAGGGATGGCTCACCCCTCTGGTTCCCAGTCACCAGCAGCTCCTCCTCTGCTTCCTCCCTGCTTCCCGTGAGTCACTCACCTGGCATACTTGTCACTTGTCATTTTTGTATTTGTGTGACTCTTAAAGGTCAGTCTCCCTGACTGGGTTGCAGCAGGCTGAGGGCGGATCTGTTTCTGTTGTTTTGCTCTGTATCCCCAAGCCTGGATCTGCTCAGTGTTGAGTAAATTGTCTCCCGAGCTTTTTCTGTTCAAACTGCTTCCTGGCCCAAGCAACCTTGCCGCCTTTCACACTCACTCTTGGCTTTGCCCATTCATACTAGCCTTTCTCTTTTCTTTTCTTTCTTTCTTTTTGTTTTTTTTGAGACAATGTTTCTCTGTATAGTCCTCCCTGCCCTGGAACTTGCTGTGTAGATCAGGTTGGCATAGAGCGCTCAGAGATCCACCTGCCTCTGCCTTTAGAGTGCTGGGACTAAAGGCCTGCGCCTCCACAGCGGCCTTTTCACACTAGCTTTTCCAGGGAATAGTTGAGGCTGTGCGTCCTCCGGGGCAGACCTCTTTCCAACCGTGGCTTGTTTGTTTTTCTTTAAATGTCACCCATAGGAAGCTGGGAGGTGGCCCGCAGCTGCCTTTGATCTCGGTCTCTCAGCCCCTCTTCCAGATCCCCCGATGTTTGCTGAGGGCTGAACCAGAAAGCTGGAGTTACTGCTGGAACAGGGATCTCTTGCACCCGGGCCACAACGGTCGCCAGATCACCGTGGCCCCTCCCACTAGGCCACCTTGCCACTCTTAGATTTGAAACGGGGCAGGTGAGACCCTGGACTTGGCTCGGAAGGGAGGGTGTACCTTGGGTATCTCAGAGGGGCCAGGGGAACAACAGCCTGAGTGGCTAGACTGTGGCTGGAGGTCAAAGGGCAGAGCATCTCTCCAGGCTTCCCTCTTCAGCGGAGTGCCCTTTGTCCTGGCCCGGGGTGGGGGATGGGGGGAAGTTGAAGACGGCCCCCTAGCTTGACCAATGAACTGACCATCCAGGGGGAGGGACGAGTAGGAGTGGGCGGGACCATTTCTTATCTAACAAACAGCCTTCCGACTAGATTTTTCTCTTTCCAGCCTGCTCTTTTTGACTCTTCCCCGCCTCTGCCCAGGCACCTGCTCTCTCCCCTGGCACCTGCTGCCCAGTAGGAAGGGCAAGAGCAATCCCAGGCAGTGCATTGTGAGGAGTCTCCACCCCTCCTCCAGCGCTTCCTTCTCCAGGGCGCCTCTCAGGCCCCGCCCTCACCTGCCCAAGATAATTTTAGTTTTCCTGAGCCTGGAATCTGGATACGCAGGGTTCTCTCCATATTCTCCCGCCTCAACATCCAAAGGCGCGATACCCTCCTAACCACCTGTAGAGAAGAGAGAGTGGATTTGAACTCAAATCCAAGTGTTTGGGATCCCTAGACAGAGCCTGACTTTGGGCCCGGTGTCCGGCTCCTTCTGCTGGAGTTCCTCCAGGTAAGGCGACCGAGATCGGTCTCAGACAATCTGCTCCTACCCCCATCCTCACCAGGGCCTCAGGTTGTGCCCGCCTCGGGCGGATCTGGCCCGCGGCCCAGGTAGATGGCCCGGAGGCTGCCAGGCTCTCCCCCCCACCCCCCCCCTCCCGAACGTCCTCGCTTGGTGAGGTCAGGCCACAGGCGGGGAAAGGGGGTGGTGGTAGTTCAGGCCTAGAGTCTTTCTCCCTAAACCGGTGGCCTCGGGCAGGTGTGCCGACGTCCAAGGTCTGGGTAAGGAACGAAGCGAGCGGAAACTTCATCTTGGGGGTGGGACGCAAGTTAGGTCTGGGTCCCTAAGGAAAGCGTCCTTCTCCTGATGCTCTCTGGCGGCTTCGCTGCGTTGTTTTGTTTGTTTGTTGCTCGGCATCTCGAATCCTTCCCCTTCCTCACCTTGCTCCCCGAGACCTCCCGTGTTTTTCATTTTGTGTCCCTCACACTTCCTTCTCTCCCAGTGAATTCGTGGATGGGAGGTAGGGTCTCTCGGTCACCTCCGGAAATCTGGACTTTCCGGCTAAAACTAGTTCTTTCTACTCAGGACCAGCTAGTTGGAGGTGTGTGTGTGTGTGTGTGTGTGTGTGTGTGTGTGTGTGTGTGTGTGTGTGTGTAGGTGTAGGGGCGGATCCGGAGGTGGCCCTTCTCTACCTTGCTGAGCTCAGTTTATTACAATCTGGGGTTCCCATTTGGAGGGGAGCAGAGGAGAGGGATTCCCACATGGTTGGAACTCCGTCCCTCCACGCCGTTGTCCCACCTCGGATGTGGAAGCCCGGTGGGCTGAGGATCCCTCCTGGCTGCAGCTGCAGCTGCATGTGGACAAAGAAAGCTGGAGATGCGGGTGCCGTGAGAAGGGTCTGCCCTGCAGGGCCAGGAAGAGAGTGTGTGGCGGGTCATGTGGGCCTGTCTGGAATCTGAGGCTGGGGAAGGACCTAAGTCCGGGTCTGGGTCTTCATGGCAGGATTGGGACAGAGTGCACCTGAGGGCCAGATGGTAGCATTTTCAGCCTTTTTAAAAATCTTTACCGGACCACCCCCCCCCCCAAGAATGCAATGCCTTCTGGGTTGTGAGTCTGTGCTAGCTTGGACTCTGTTCTCCCGTGTGTGTGTGTGTGTTTTGTACACCTCCTCAAATGCAAAATAATGATTAACTCTACAGGCAACTCTAGCATTCTTCCCAAATTAAACATTAAAAGAGTTGTCCCGCCCCCCTTTATTCCATTGGATGGTTTTTCCTGAGTGGAGTGGGCGGAGCATCAACTTCGGGTCAACTAAGGGTTTCCTAACTCCTCATCTGGGCCCAGTACCCCTAAAGGTTAAGACCCCCTCTTCCCTCCCCAAGTCCTGATGGGAGTTGGCTTGGTATACTGGACCAGAACCAGTCCTCAAGCTGCCCAGGCCACTGGCTCACCAACCCCTCTCCTAGACCTGGGAAGAGTGGACCGTGGCTTTGATTGCTGTTGGCCCCAAACATTTAGGCCTTGCCACTCGCCTTGGGGTTTGCTAGGTGGGGCAACATTCAGGAAGTAAACAAGGCGGCTGGGAGGGTAGGAGAGAGGGTGGGGCCGGAGCTGCTGAGACTAGGGAGCTGGAGTTAGAGTGGCCTGGTTGAGAGGACTTGTTGGTTGGGGGACCAGTTTCTCCGCTGGAAGCTTTGCTTAGGCTCTAGTTTGAATGCCTCAGATCTCTTGGGCAGGGATTGCAGGCAGGGGCCCGCAGCAGGCTCCTCTACCTCATCTTATCTTTTAGGTACCTGCCGGCTTCTAGTCTTCCCCAGCTGAAGGGTGGGGTGGAGGGATCTGGAAGCTAACCCTAGTGCAGCCTGCACCTGGGCCTCTGGCATCAGACTGTAATCTGACTTGAATCTGCTTCCTCTGCTTTCAAACAGCTGTCCAGCGGGTTGATGTTTTCTGCCTTGGAGGGAGGGGCACCCCGGCAGAGACCTCCCCCCCATCTCTCCCTAAAATGAAAAATCAGATGGGTAGGTGTGGGTGTCAGGTGTTTGCTTGCTCTGCCTGGCTCTCCTGGGGGTGCTTTGCTCGGTCTGTCTGCCTGTCCTCTTGGGTGTTTTAACTCCATTACTGCCTGATGGTACCCTTCTGGTCAGGACAACCCAGAGTGTGTTCAGAAATCCTCTTCCACAGAGCAATATACAGGAGTCCCTAAGGCCAAATGCATCATCGTACATCCTGAGGGTAGTTAACAGCAAAGAGAGTTGTAGGTTCAAGACCCAGGCTAGGCAGGGCTGAATGCTGCTTGCACATCACCAGGAGGTGGCCTCCAATCCTGATAGGTTCCTGGATCCAGCCCGGGCATTTCCTCCCACCTCCCTGGGTTGTAAGCAAGCTGATGGTTTAGGACTAAGGTGGGCAGACATTAGTCCCACCTGGGCTGGACATTGGCCAAGGGTGGGGAAAGGTGATGTCAGGGGAGCCTCGGGCTGCTCCTCCCCACATCTTCATCTTTTCCCAACCCGCACCCCGCGCTCGCTCCCAGGCTCCCCGTAGGTTGGAGAGTCCGGGACCGAGGGCAGAGACAGGTTGTTTGTGTTCCTTTTCAGCCAGGAAGTCCTAGAGATGAGTCAAAGTTGAATGGGGAGCCTGGGGCATAGCTGTCCCGCCCCGCCCTGACTCACCTGCCCCCCAGATCTCTTCGTGCCCTCGCGGAAGGGTCAAGTGTTTTTCCTATCCTAGCCTGGTGCCGGGAACCTTCCCAGATGTCCTGGGCAGCCTCACAGTCCTGGTGCAGGGTCTGGAGAACAGGCAGGGTGCCAGGATCGGCATTTTGTCTAGGTCCTGCCAGGTTCAGCACCATGGGGTCTGCCGGTTCCTGCAGAGAAGGGCTGGAACCTCCCTCCCCCTTCTCTTTGCCTGGTCTCACCTGTCCTTACTTGTCCTTGCTCCTCTGCTCCCGTGGGCGCTAAGGCATAGGTGAGACTCTGGTGTGTGTGCCAGGTGCTTTCAGACCAGAGATGGGATAAAACAGGTGCACAGTAATGGGGGCAGAGTTCCCAGCACAGGGCTGAGTGTGGCAAGTCCCAGAGGACTTCTCCTACGTAGGAGGTGGTGAGGCTGCCGGAAGAGTAGGCAGGACGAGGGGCCCAGAAAGGCCCACAGAGTTTGGAGGTTGCCGGGTTAAGAGCCCCCCCGGACTAGGCCTTCTGTTCCCGCCACAACCTGAGCACACTGTCCTGCCTTTCTGATTCCTGTCCTTCCTCACCGCCTCGTTCTCTGTGTGTCACTCATCACTAGGCCAGGTGTTGCCACAACAGGCTTGGCAACTGCTTCTGGCAACAAGGGGCTGGCACAACACCGCGCTGGAAAAATTCACAGAGCCCCGTGGAAGGAGCAGCCTTTGCCCTGACCCTGTGGCTGCAGCTAGGGGCACGTGGCAGGGAGGCCACCCGTTCCTTCCCGAGCCGCTTTTGTTGCAGGAAGAACGCTGGCACTGGACTCCCAGTCACCAGACTGAATGCTCCTGGGCACATGCATGCTTCCTTCTCAGGACCCCAGTGTCCCTTTCTGTAAAGTGGGCATGTCCTGTCCTTCTCTGAGGGCTCAGAGGAAGCTGCAGTGGGAAGGTGTCAGTCAGTGGCAGCACATGGCATCAGCAGGGCTCCATTGTCTTCACAGGTGCCATGGAACTGGATCTGAGCCCGCCTCATCTCAGCAGCTCCCCGGAAGATGTGTGCCCAGCTCCTGGGACCCCTCCCGAGACTCCTCCACCCCCTGATAACCCTCCATCAGGGGATGTGAAGCGGTCCCAGCCTCTGCCCATCCCAAGCAGCAGGTTGGATGGGGCAGTGGGGCTGCATTGGTAGAGAGATCTGGGGACGGGGAGGGAAGCCAGCACTGGCTAACACGTAGGGGCTTCCATCCCTCAACCCTGACATAGGAAACTTCGAGAAGAGGAGCTTCAGGCGACCTCTCTACCCTCCATCCCCAACCCCTTCCCTGAGCTCTGCAGCCCACCTTCACAGAAACACATTCTTGGGGGTTCCTCCGGTGCAAGGGGGTTGCTTCCTCGAGATTGCGGCCGCCTTCACGTGAGTTGTTTTGGGAAAGGGAAAAACAGGGACAGAGCTGCCCCAGCCCTGGGCAGATATGGTGGTGCCTCTTTAGTGCAGTTGGGGTATCTTGAGGATAGGATAAGTCAGAGAGTAGAATCCCCCCTGCCTTACCCCAAGTCACCTGCAGTTCCTGGGGTACAGGTGGTGAAGGTGTACAGCGAGGATGGGGCCTGCCGGTCTGTGGAGGTGGCAGCGGGTGCCACAGCTCGCCATGTGTGTGAAATGCTGGTGCAGCGAGCTCACGCCCTGAGTGATGAGTACTGGGGCCTGGTGGAGTGTCACCCCTATTTAGCACTGGGTGAGTTGGGGCACAAGGAGCTGTGGGACGATGTCTTGGGCCAGACAGGTGGCTCATCTGTGAGGCTTGGTTCATCTCTACCAACTCTTGCTTTCCACCCTTGGTCTCAGAGCGGGGTGTGGAGGACCATGAGTTCGTGGTGGAGGTGCAGGAGGCCTGGCCTGTTGGTGGAGATAGTCGCTTTGTCTTCCGCAAAAACTTCGCCAAGTATGAACTGTTCAAGAGCCCCCCAGTGAGTGAGACCCCGGGTGTATACACATACACACACACACACACACGCACACGCACACACACACACACACACACGCACGCGCACACACACGCACGCGCACACGTGCGCACACGCACACGCGCGCACACGCACACGCACGCACACCGGTTCCCCATCCCCAGCCTGGATTCTTGAGCTTTGATCCCTGACTCCTTTCTTTCCCAGCATACCCTGTTCCCAGAAAAGATGGTCTCCAGTTGTCTGGATGCACAAACAGGCGTATCCCATGAAGACCTCATCCAGGTGAGGTCTCTCTCACCATGTATCCACAATCCCCCGCAGAGTCATCCAGGGTTTCTAACCCCTGCTGCCATGTGTGAGCTGATCTGTGTGTTTGTTGGCATTTTCCCTCCGCCGTGGTGACCTTGCTGGTGAAACGGTGCCAGTCAGTATTGGTGCTGCCCCTCCTCTGGAAGCCCGAGAGGAGGCAAGCCTTTCACCTTCTATTCACATCTGTCCTCAGAACTTCCTGAATGCTGGCAGCTTCCCCGAGATCCAGGGCTTCCTGCAGCTTCGGGGATCCGGCCGGGGGTCAGGCCGAAAGCTGTGGAAACGATTCTTCTGCTTTCTGCGTCGATCTGGTCTCTATTACTCCACCAAGGGCACCTCCAAGGTGAGGTCTTGAGGGTCAGCTCTAGCCTGTCATGTACTTCTTCCTCAGTGGTACTCCTAGACCTTTCCACTCTTGGGCCAGGGGACCCTTAGCTATTCTTCCTTCCCCTTGGGCTGGCTGTCTTCGGGCCATGAGGGCATCTATCTACCCCAACCCCTGTTTAGCTCACCTACCCTAGGAATGGCGGTAGAAAAGACAGGTGCCTTGAATCCGCCTCTGCTTGTGTGTGTATTTGTGCACACGCGCGTGTGTGTGCGTGTGTGTGAATGTCAGTGGTCAGTCTCAGGTGGACCTCCTTGGGAGCTGTCTACCTTGTTTTTTAAGACAGGATACCTACTGGGACCTAGAACTTGCAGATTAGGTTAGGCTGACTGAAAGGAGAGCCCCAAGAACCTTGCTGTCCCCACACTGGGATTAGAAGTTTGTAGCATCACATCCAGCTCTTTAGGTCGGTGCTGGGGATCAAACTCAGGGCCTCCCGATTACCCAGCAGGCACTTTACCAACTGAGCTCTCTCCTCAGCCCTCAGCCTCTAGTTGCTGTGTGAACATGGTTATTCCCCTGCCTCTCCCTGGTCCTAAAATCTCTTTACCTGGTGAGGCACTCGTGTGGCGATAAGACCTACCTGTACCAAGTCCTACTTTCTCACCATGCCCAGGACCCGAGGCACCTACAGTATGTGGCGGATGTGAATGAGTCTAATGCGTATGTGGTGACCCAGGGCCGCAAGCTCTATGGGATGCCCACAGATTTCGGCTTCTGTGTCAAGGTGAGGACTCAAGCCTGGCCTGGTCTGGGGGAGGGCGAGAGCTGCCCTGTGCTAGTGTCCTACCTCTGGCTTTTGACCCCCACCTTGAGAAACCCAGCCTATTCTCCCTACACCTGCACATCTGGATAGTCCTTGGCTCCTTCCCTGCCCCGTGGCAGCTGGGCACAGAATCAGACAGGGGACAGCCCACTTCCTCTCCCCCCAGCCCAACAAGCTTCGAAATGGCCACAAGGGGCTCCACGTCTTCTGCAGTGAGGATGAGCAGAGCCGTACCTGCTGGCTGGCTGCCTTCCGTCTCTTCAAGGTGAGACCCCTGCAATGGCAGGGGTGCTGGCCTGGCCTGAGGGAGGCGATGTAGCTCTGTCTTCCCAGTAAGAGGTCACCATAGCCCCGGCTTCTGAGAATACTAGTCAGGAAGGGCAGGTTCAGCCCTGCTCTGGAGAAGTCCTGGCCTGAGCGGTGTCACAGCCCATCTCCTAGGCTCTCTTGACCTCAAACTGTTTTTTTCTTCTTCTCCTGCCTCCAGTATGGGGTGCAGTTATATAAGAATTACCAGCAGACTCAATCTCGTCAATTGCGCCTATCCTACTTGGGGTCTCCGCCCTTGGTGAGTATACTCAGGGGTATTAGGAGAGGTGGGGATACAGGCTCAGGGCAGCTATTCTGACCCCCTCTCTCCTCCTTCTGTCCTCTTCCCAGAGGAGCGTTTCAGATAATACCCTAGTGGCCATGGACTTCTCTGGCCAGGCTGGGCGTGTCATTGAGAACCCCCGGGAAGCTCTGAGTGCTGCCATGGAGGAGGCCCAGGCCTGGAGGGTAAGGGCCTGCGTGCATCTGTGTGTCTGCTGCACTGGCTCCCAACGGGCTTTCATGGAGTAGGAGGGAGGAGGAGGGCTTGGGGAGGCGGCGGTTGCCAATGGTACCCTGACTCCCATGTCCCCCACTGCAGAAGAAGACAAACCACCGTCTGAGCCTGCCCACCCCATCCTCTGGCTCCAGCCTTAGCGCAGGTGGGTGATGGTCTAGAGTTCCTAGGATGGGCTGCGTTGCTACTCTGAGCAATCTTGGCTGGGGTCCGAGGTGCCTTCCCTGAATGACCAGCATCTTTTCCCCTGACCCCAGCCATCCACCGTACCCAGCCCTGGTTCCACGGACGCATTTCCCGGGAGGAGAGCCAGCGGCTAATTGGACAGCAGGGACTGGTGGACGGGTAAGGGACTGGGCTGGGTCAGGTAACAGACCTGGGGACCAGCGAGGCCCTAGGGCAGGTGGAACCAGGAGTCCCTGGTAATGCGGTTTTGTCTCCCCCAAAGTGTGTTCCTGGTCCGGGAGAGTCAGCGCAACCCACAGGGCTTTGTCCTTTCCTTATGCCACCTGCAGAAAGTCAAGCATTACCTCATTCTACCGGTGAGTAACCCCCCACTCCTCATTGGGGGTTCTTGTAGCCAGGGGACACATGACTCGAAGCCCTGCTATGCTCCTGCTTTTTCCCTGTACAAGAAACGGGGGCCGATTGCTGGCCCCGCGGGCCACTCCTCCACCCAGGGCCACTCCCTGACCTGCCCTCTGGCCACACCGCAGAGCGAAGACGAGGGCTGCCTCTACTTCAGCATGGACGACGGCCAGACCCGATTCACAGACCTGCTGCAGCTGGTGGAATTCCACCAGCTGAACCGAGGCATCCTGCCCTGTGTGCTACGCCACTGCTGTGCCCGTGTGGCCCTCTGAGGCCACATGAGCCATCAGAGCCCGTGGAGCTGCCTGCTACCCTTCCATTCAGTGGACTTGACGCAGGTGGGTGGGATGATGAACAGCTGAAGCGCTCTCCCATCCCACTTCTGTTTCTTTACCTCCCTCAGGCAACAGAACATCCCCCAACCCTGTCCATCCCTGACGCCTGTCCCCAAGGGAGGCATTTGTGGTCCTATCCTCAGGAGCTCCTGAGGCACTATTCCAGTGAGGGGCATTGTGTGAGAAGTAGGGGCAGCCCAGGTGGTCTCAAGCCCCACACTCTGTACAGACTAAGAGGCCAGTTGATCTGCTCTGTTTTATACTAGTGGCAATAAAGATTATTTTTTGATACACCCATGAGTTCCTTCTGGCAAGAACTGAGAAGACGGCCAGCAGAGGTGAAGGTGTTGGTGAATGAGAATATGCCCTGAGCACAAAAATGGTGTTAGTTGCCTGGGAGCTTCCATATTCTAGCAAGTACCTTGGCACAGTCAGTCAGTGCTGGTTAAATGGATGAGTGGACAATGAGCAACAGGGGACTGTGCTTTTCTTTCATTCTTTTTTTTTTTTTTTCAAAAAATTACGTTTTATGTCTGTGTATGTGCACATGTGAGTGCAAATGCTCAAGGGAGCCAGAAGGGGGCGCTGGATCGTTTGGAACTATAGCTGCCGGCAGCAGGGAGCTGTCTGATGTGGATGCTGGGACCCAAACTCAGGTCTTCTGCAAGAGCAGTGCATACCTTTAGCGAATGAGCCATCTCTTCAGCCCCAAGGGACTGGTGTTTCTGACAGAGCTTAGATCTGGCAGAGCCTGGTATCTGGAGATGAGCCAGATATGGTGGTGCATCCTGGAATCTCAGCACTTGGGTAGGAAGAACATTTTGGGGGAAGCCTGGGCTACATGAGATCCCCGTCTCCCTACAAACAAAAACAAGATGAGTCAGCAGCAAGTCTTAAACTAGTTGATGGACAGTGAGCCCTGACAAACGGACAAGCACCACAGCAGAGGTAACGGGCTTACTTCCCACAAGCCCCCGTGTCTTCCACCAACCTCTTCTCCCTCTTTCTAAGATCTGCTTTCTGTCCCTGCAGTCCCCCTCACCCAGAAAGCCAGAAAGGGAATGGCTATGCAGCCCCCCACCCCACCCCACCCCACCCCACCCCACCCTGAGTCCAACTACCCTCTCCAGCCCAGCCTTCAGCTTCCAGAATGATTTTTGCAAAGTGCACACTTGGCCGCTGCTGAGCCAGGCTGTATTTCCCAAGAGTCTCGTGCCCTCACCCAGCCTGACAGGAGCTTTAGGGTATGTGTTTCCAATGGCAGCACCTGTTCCTCTTGCTCGAGTTGCAGAGACACATCTTTTAGAAAGTGAACCCCAGGTGGATATTATTTTGCCAAAAAGAGTCAAACTTGACTCTTGTTCCGTGGATTTAATAACTAGTTTACCGGAAATATGAGGGCTAGAGGAACACAAGAATTGACACGTGGGGACAGTTAGCAAAATCTGGACTGGGGAACTACAGAAGAGATGGCTGAGTTTCTACTTCAATAATAACAGAAATGACAAGAAAAGCGAAGATGGGGAGTGTCTGGATTCTAAGAAATTTAGATGTGACAGTCAAATGATTCAAATCCAAACTCGCTGCAAAAATACACTCACGAGCAATTGGGGGACATTCTAACTCATGATAGTAAGGAATGTGCTTAATTTTTAGAAAAAATTTAAGGTATAGTAGTGGCATGGTAGTTCTTCCTCCCACCTCATGAAAAGACTTATTCTAGCTGGGATGTGATGGTAAAGTCCCAGCGCTGCTCTGGCAAGTTCCTGGCAAGCCTGGGCTACATGGTGAGACTATCTCAACAAACATACAAACCCAGAAGGGGGTGAGACTCATTTGAAGTCTCTTTCTTTCTTTCTTTCTTTCTTTCTTTCTTTCTTTCTTTCTCTCTCTCTCTCTCTCTCTCTCTCTCTCTCTCTCTCTCTCTCTCTCTCTCTCTTCTTTCTTCCTTCCTTCCTTCCTTCTTTCCTTCCTTCCTCTCTCTCTCTCTCTCTCTCTCTCTCTCTCTCTCTCTCTCTCTCTCTCTCTTTCTTTCTTTCTTTCTTAAGATTTACTTATTAAGTACACAGGGTTCTGCCTGCATGGATGCCTACAGGCTGGAAGATAGCACCAGATCCTATTATAGATGGTTGTGAGCCATCTATAATGCCATGTGGTTGCTGGGAATTGAACTTAGGACCTCCAGAAGGAACAGTCAGTGCTCTTAACCTCTGAGCCATCTCTCCAGCCCTCATTTGAAGTATTTCCAGTGAGATGACATGATGTCTTGGTTTTCCCAAGATACTTCACACTGCTGTTCTGCAGGGTCTCATTGTGTATTCCTGGCTAGGCTGAAATTTGCTATGTAGACCAGGCTGGCTAGCCTGGAACTCACAGAGATCCACCTGCCTCTGGCAGACCCCCATCCCCATCCCATCCTTGTTTTAGTTAGGGTTTCTATTGCTGTGAGAGACACCATGACCACAGTAACTCTTGTAAAGGAAAACATTTAATTGGGATGGCTCACTTACAGTTTCAGAGGTTCAGTCCGTTATCATCATGGCTGGGAGCATGGCAGCATGCATGCTGGAGGAGTAGCTGAGAGTCCTACATCTTGCAGGCAACAGGAAGTCAACTGAGACACTGGGCGGTATCTTGAGCATAGGAAACCTCAGAGCCCACCCCCACAGTGACACGTTTCCTCCAACAAGGCCATACTTACTCCAACAAAGCCACACCTCCTAACAGTGCCACTCCCTATGACATTATGGGGGCCAATTACATTCCAATGACCACAGTCCCCGAACACCAGTGATGGGACTCAAGGCATGTGTCACCATGTCCAGCTTGGCTTCATTTTTCAAAAGATCCAGATTTGTTGATGCTCTCATTACTTTTGATATGCTTGAAAATTCTCACAACTTTTTAAAAACAGAGAACCTTTCTTTTTTTTTTTTTTTTTGGTTTTTCGAGACAGGGTTTCTCTGTGTAGCTTTGCGCCTTTCCTGGAACTCGCTTTGGAGACCAGGCTGGCCTCGAACTCACAGAGATCCGCCTGGCTCTGCCTCCCGAGTGCTGGGATTAAAGGCGTGCGCCACCACCGCCTGGCTTAGAGAACCTTTCTAAACCTGAGACTGAGCACGAGGCAAGGGAACAGCTGCTTTGCCAGCCACATCACTGTCCCTATTCAAATCCTAGCTCTCCCATGAACTGGGAGGGCAGACTATAGGGCAGCGAGGATGTCTCGCTGGCTCTGGGGGCCAGGGCTAGGCACATTCTGCTCCCCCTTAGCTGGATTTCGGGTAGAAGTCCTAAACTGCAGACCAGGCCTTTCTAAAGAGACTCTCTGGAGGCCCTGTCTCTGCAGTCAGGTTGGCCTGAGGTGACCTCAAAGGTCCGGCCACTTCAGGGGAACTTGTGCCAAGTTCAGCAGCATCGGTGGCCGACTGGGACAAAGACAACCCGCGCTTGTCTGATGCCAGACCAGGGAGCTCGGAGCCAGGCCTGACAAAGAGAGACAAGAGACCCCTTCCACACTCCAGCCTGTCGCCTGCTGGGACCTCCCCTGCGGAGCTCTCTGTGGCCGAGATACAAGGGCTGCAGATATCACCGCTGCTCCGCAGGGCTTGAGGCAAGGATCAGTGCCCTGCACAGCTGGACACCTGCCACGGCCCCCAGAACTCGCTCTTCTACTGGCTGCTCCTCAAGCTTGGAACTGGGAGTGTACTGCCCATGGATGCCCAGTGCCACTCCTGAGATATTCGTGCCAAGGCCCCAGGAAAGGGGCCAAGATGAGTCACCTTTTAAGCATGTCTGAAGAGTTAGGCTGCCCCCACAGAAAACTCAGCATCTCCTCAGCACCTGAGGTACTAGACAGGGGATTACGGCCCTTCTATGTCAACCAGCCAATCGGAATCTCTGAGACCTATATGCCTTCCATTTTACATGTAGAAAACTGAGTCTCAGAACGCGTGACCCACTCGGGGTCACGGAGAAAGTGAGAAACAACCAGCCCAGGCAGCAGGCGATGGACACCATCCTTTCCGGTCCTGGAGGAGGAATTGGAGGGCCACGGGGCCAGAAAGGATGGCAGCTACCTCCTGGTGGGAGGAGGGAGCCTGCTCCTGCAAGTTGTCCTCTGACTCCCCCTGCTGCAGGTGCACCATGGCATGTGACCTTCCAAATAAATAAAGGTAAAAAATTCTTTTGAGGGCTTTAAAGGGGCCCAGTGGGTAAAGGTACTTGTTGCCAAGCCTGACATCCCGGCCAATCAAACACCAGGACCCACGTGGTGGAAGGATAGAACCAACTGTGGCAAATTGTCCTCTGGCCTTCACACACACACACACACACACACAAACACACCACACACACCTCATTGCATGAGCACATAGCCCACACACATGCACACTAATAAACAAATACAATAAATTATAATAAATGAATATAATTAAACCAACCTCTCATATATATGATATATATTATATATATGGTATTTATGAGAGGTGGACACACACACACACACACACACACAAACACACCACACACACCTCATTGCATGAGCACATAGCCCACACACATGCACACTAATAAACAAATACAATAAATTATAATAAATGAATATAATTAAACCAACCTCTCATATATATGATATATATATTATACATATGGTATTTATGAGAGGTGGACACACACACATACACACGTGAGAGAGAGAATATCAGTCTTACTAGTCCAGGCTGGCCTCTACCTTGTAGTCTTCCTACTTCCCTCCAATCTTCCCCTTTAGGGTCACCATATGTACACCCCACTAGAGTATCAGTGGTGGAAATAGGCCTTGTGATTGGAGTTGAGGGAAGCTGTGTGGAAGTGGGAGTGTTGCATGCACACCATGCACATGTGATAAGGAAGGCTTACGTATCCTTGAAACTGCCAGTTTCTAGGGCGTGCGCCATATCCTCCAGCACACAGTAGAACCCCCTCGTTCCTTCTGGGTACCTGCTCACTTTTCCCCATAGGATTCCAGCATATTCAGTCCTTGCCAGCTCTGGCCTACCTGGCTCTAACTTCCATCAGACTGTATTCACAGTTTTGGCTTTCCTCCTCCCAAGCTGTGGAGCCACCCAAGCCCACACATCTTAGGGATGAACTTGGTGGGGATTTTTTTTACCGGGCAGGGGGAGGTGAAGGGGTCTGGAGTGCGTTTAGTGAGGAAGAAGAGGCCCCAGACTGGTGAGACCAGGTTGAGGCTGGAGAGAGCATGCACGCGGGGTCCCACCCACACAG